CTTGACTCCTCCCACCCAGGGCGTGACCTCCATCCTGCCTATGCTGCGGGAGGGGGTTCTGACTGGCAACTCAGACCAGAAAGAAGAGGCGGCCAAAGCTTTGGGACTGGTCATTAAGCTGACCTCCGCCGAAGCTCTGAAACCATCTGTGGTCAGCATTACCGGGCCCCTGATCCGGATCTTGGGAGACCGCTTCAGCTGGAACGTCAAGGTGGCTTTGCTGGAAACCTTAAGTCTTCTCTTGGCCAAGGTAAGCGAGGAAACGCTGGGAACAAAATCCGGGAAGAGCTTGGGTGAGGACCCCATGGTGTGGGCTTTAAAAAAGAATGTGCCAAGAAAGCTTGCCCAATGAGGAATTCTGGGAGTTGAAGTCCACGGGTCTTCAAGTGGCCAAGCTTGCACATCCCTTGCTTTAAAGCAGGGGTCTTCCAACTTGGCCCTTTTATGACTTGTGGACTTCAACTCCCAGAATTCCTCAGCCAGTGTCTCGGGACACTGCAATCCCTGTCATAAATATGAGTTGGTGGCCAAGCATCCAAATTTTGATCACGTGATCGTGGAGATGCTGCAGTGGTCATAAGCGTAAAAAAAAGGGTCATAAGTCACCTGTTGTAACTTTGGTCCCTAAATGAACGGTTGTAAGTCAAGGACTACCTATACTTGCATTGATGTGTGTTAATGTGTCACCCTGACAGGTGGGCATTGCTCTGAAACCGTTCCTGCCTCAGCTTCAAACCACCTTCACCAAAGCCTTGCAAGATCCCAACCGGGTGGTCCGCTTAAAAGCCGCCGATGCCCTGGGGAAGCTGATCGCTATTCACGCCAAGGTGGATCCCCTCTTTACCGAATTGCTGAACGGCATTCGCACCAGCGAAGACTCTAGCATCAGGCAAGTGACTGAGCGGGCCCAGGGAAGGTTGCAAACGGCGATTAAATGGCGACCCGGGGATGTTGCAATCCTCATAAATACAGTACAACGCGAGAGGTGCTTCTGTTGCTCGTTCCCTTGTTTTTAAGTCCTGCCGACTTTTCTGCTTTCTCTCTCCTTCTTGGGGCTTTTCAGGGACACCATGCTTCAAGCTTTGCGGTTTGTAACTCAGGGGGCAGGAGCCAAAGTGGATGCCGCCGTTCGGAAGAGCATCATCACCGTCCTTCTCAGCATGCTGGGCCACGAAGAGGTATCCATGCTTGGTGGAAGCTTATGGGTTGCAACCCTCCCCAGATGATTGATAGATAGATAGATAGATAGATAGATAGATAGATAGATAGATAGATAGATAGATAGATAGATAGATAGATAGATAGATAGATAGATAGATAGATAGATGATAGATAGAAAGACAGACAGACAATAGATAGATAGATAATAGATAGAAAGAAAGAAAAAAGAAAGAAAAAGAAAAAGAAAGAAAGAAAAAGAAAGAAAGAAAGAAAGAATTCTTTATTGCCCAAGTACACAAGGAATTTGTCTCCTGTGCAGAAGCTCTCAGTGTACATACAAGCAGGTCTGTAGATATTTTCACAGCCATATTTCTGGCTTGTGCAGTATACAGATCCTCAGTGGAAGGCAGACTGGTTGCAACTGTTTTTTTCTGCAGCCCTAAGTATCATTCATAATTCGTATTTTATATTTATACAAAATTTATCTCGGAAAGCTTATGTTATAAAGAAATCGGGTGAAAATGTTTCTGGCTGGTAACCTTCGTTGTGAAAGGAAACATTTCTCTTTGCTTTTTTTTCCCCTTGCCAGGACGCGACTCGCATGGCCTCAGCGGGTTGCTTGGCCGAAATGTGTGCATTTCTGACGGACGAGGAACTCGGCAGCGTCCTCCAGAATCATCTTCTCGGTGGGTTTTGGGGGGGAAATTCCCCAGAGGGGCTGAAGGAACATTATTTTCTGTCACGACGGGTCGTCCTCAACTTAACGACCACAATGTGGCCAAGAAGTGCAGTTATTTAGTGAACTGCACCCCTCTTTACAAGTTTCTTTGCTCTAGTTGTTCAGTGAATCCCGGTAGTGCGTAAATCAAGTTGTTGTTAAGCAGATCTAGCTTGCTCCATTGACTTTGCTCGTCAGAAGCCAGCTGGGTCACAATTCCCCATCGTAAATGCGCACCGGTTGCCAAGTGCCAAATTGCACAATTTAGAATAGAATAGAATAAGAAATAGAAATAGAAATAGAAATAGGCTGGGCTGAAGGACCATCTTTCTTTCGTCCCACAGCGGACGTCTCTGGCATCGACTGGATGGTGAGGCACGGACGCAGCCTGGCCCTCTCGGTGGCCGTGAACACGGCGGCCAGCAGGCTGTGCGCCCCCAAGTATTCGAACAGCGTCCACGAGATGATCTTCAGCAACACGGTCGCTGACCGGGTAAATCTCTCCATCTGCGATTTTGGCTTCTGCTTTCTCCTGCTTTTGAACACTGCATCCCAGTCTCCTGCATTTTCTGGAGGTCCAAGACTTTTGCACAGGAGTATATTTACTGTTGATTTTTGCAATAGTGTTGCCTGGTCTTGGATTCTTCTGGAATCTGATGGCTTTTTGCTTCTCCGCTGATTTCTCTGGCTACAGATCCCCATTGCTATCGCCGGCATCCGAGGAATGGGCTTCCTCATGAAGCATCACATAGAAGCCAACGGAGGGAACCTGCCCCCGAAGCTGTCCAACCTCTTCATCAAGGTAAGGCTGCAGCCCCTTGATGAGGGCTGGCTTGAATTCAGACGTCTCTGCACCCCGATTCTCTTGAGACGGGATTGTGTGTGTGTTTGGACTAGATGACCTCCAAGGTCCCTTCCAACTCTTGTTGTTCTAAATATTTTACTAAGGAGCATGGTGCCACCTCTTCCTTTTCAACTGACTCAGAATCACTTACGCCGCCCTTCCTCTTAGATAAAGAATTAGGATTAGACATTCTGATGTTGATCAACAGATAGTACAACGGGGTCCCCAAATTTTCGTGGCTTTCCCCTTTGCTTGTCTCAGTGTCTTCAGAATCCGTCCAGCGACATCAAACTGACTGCGGAGAAGATGATTTGGTGGGCCAGCAAAGCCCCTCTCCCCCCCTTGGACCCTCCTGTGGCCAAGCCCATCCTCAAGGCGCTTCTGGACAACACGAAAGATAAGAACACCAGCGTCAGGGCTTACAGTGACCAGGCCATTGTCAACCTCCTGAAGATGCGAGAAGGCGAGGAGATGCTTCAGGTAATGGCCTGCCTTAGGTGGCCAGGGGGGCGATGGAGCCAGAAGCGATGGGAGAACCGAGCCTGTGGCACTTTACTTTGTGATGGGTGTCCCTTCACAAAGTGTGTGGTTGGGATGTAGGACTAGAGTCCGGACCCATTTGCTGGATTCAAAATGGCAATTATGTCATCCCTTCTCTTAGACCGTGGGAAGGCAGTTTTCAGGCTAGGCTTGCAAAGGGTTGATAATTTACATTTCATTTAATAACATACTGATAGAATGTGTGATATAATAATACTATTCATAATTTAGTGAAGAGAGAGCCAGTTTGGTTGTAGTGGTGACACTACACAGGCTAGAAATCAGGAGATTGTGAGTTCCAATTCTGCCTTAGGCATGAAAACCGGCTGGGTGACTTTGGGCCAATCACCAGGAGCCTGTGAGTTCTAGTCCTGCCTTAAGCATGAAAATCAGCCTGGTGACATTGGGCTAATCCAGGAGCCTGTGAGTTCTAGTCCTGCCGTAAGCATGAAAACCAGCCCGGTGACCTGGGCTAATTACCAGGAGCCTGTGAATTCTAGTCCTGCCTTAGGCATGTGAATTGGGACCATGAAATAGACCTCTAGGGGCATAAAGGTGGACTGAAAATGCTTCTCTGAACTTGGTGTCTCGCAGTCCATCTCCAAGATCCTTGACGCTGCCAGTTTGGAACTGCTGAACGAGAGTTGCCGGCGATCCCTGAAAAAGCTCGCCAATCAAGCCGACTCGGTTGAACAAATTGACGACACCATCCTGACGTGAGAAGCAAGTTGGCCCTTTGACCCCTTGCTGCTTCAGCATTGCAAGTCAAAGCCGACGATGTTTTCATTTTCGAAAATGCTAATTGTGAGCCGATTAAGAAGGAAAAAAATAGCCTTAATTATTCTGCTGGTTTAAACAAGAGAATTTGGCCTGTCCCTCCCCCCCCTCCTTTTTTTTTTTTTTTTTTTTGAAATTCTGTTGATTGGTAATGAGTTAATGGCGAATTCACACATCCCTCTGCGTGGAAGGAGACGTTTCCACTTGAGTTTAAGCGGGAAGGAATTTTTGTTGTTGTTGTCAAAAGCAAGTTTTGTTCTGAGGTGCTGTTGGCTTGAGGTGGCTCTGAAGGCTGCTGATTCTGCAAATCAGATCATCCAAGGGGCCAGAGAAATGCAGAAAGGGTTAACGGTTGCGGTTCGAATGGCAATTTATTAAAAAGCTTTCAATCTCTTGTTGGCCTTCATTATTGGTGCACATCCTCACACGCGTGAAAACAACAACTGTTGGTTTGCTGGAGCGTAATAAGCTGGGCCAACGTTTGGGAATTCAGGCATGCAAGTCTAAACCACAGTGGGCTTGATTCAGACAATACCTTAAGCCAGTGTTTCTGAACCTTGCCAACTTTAAGACAGGTGGACTTCAATTCCCATAACCCAAGAGGATACGATAATACTATAATTCGGGGGTCTCCAAACCTGGCAATTTTAAGATTTATGGAATTCAACTCCCACAATTCCTCAGCCAGCCCTAATCCTAACCCATGCAGGCTAGGGAATTCTAGGAGTTGGAAGTCCACCCATCTTAAAGTTGCCACGGTTCAGGAACACTGCATTAAGTCATCAACTCATGTCAACACAATGTTCCCATGACACGGTTAACTCAGTTGCTTCTCCAGGTTACCATGATCCTCAGGAACTCAAAAAAGACTTCCTCACCTGGTGTGGGGTTGTTTTGGGAAAATGTAGTTGGATTCGTTTTTCAGCTGGCAAGAAAAAAATAAGGCTTTCAGAGACTATGCAATGCTTGAAAAGGGATTTTAATCCATCCAAATTAAATACAGAACCAAAAAAATAACCGTAACAAGTTAAGAGTCGGAACTGATGGACCCTAAGGCCTGCTTGTTCAGTGGAAGAAGCTGATCACCGTAAGGAATCTGCTGTCCCACAGACCAGAACTGGACTAAATTCTCTTGTGTAACAGTTCCTCTCCCCATATATAAACGTGAAATTCAGTGCAACAACAACAAAAACATTGACAAAGAAGAACAACAATCTTCTAAGGCGAAGATGGCTTTGGCTGATCAATTCTCTGGCTTTTGAACCTGCAACCGAAAAGGGTTCTAAACAGACTTTTGAGAATGAGCATTTCCTAGTCTTCCAGTTGGCTCCTTCGGCATTCCCCAGAATGTGATCTCTTGGTGATCCCCAGCGACCCTTTCTTTTACAAAGGGGATCCCGATCTATTTGAGCCGGGTGTGTCGGGATCACAGAGGAGGGGCGCTGTGCACCCGTTTGGGGAACGGCACCCGAGCCTGCAACCACTGCTTGTAGTCTTCTTCAGGCATATCCACAATATATTCGCGCAGGAACTATGATGAAAAAAAGAAGAAGCAAGAACACAAAGATTTGATTGTCAGGTCTTCTAAGGAGATGTTGGTCCCGCTGTTGGTCCCACAGTGTTGGTCCCACAGTGTCAGGCACAAACAACCAGACCCACGTGTGTAAAGATCAAACTAGCTACTTCATTGTTCTCTGCCTGTAATACAGGAATCTCCCCAGACTGGCAATCGTGCGCCTGGGAAAGACCAAATAACAATAACAGAGTTGGAAGGGACCTTGGACTGCTGTTGTAACTTCGAACGGTCACTAAATGAACTGTTGTAAATCAAGGACTACCTGTATCTCCCTTGAATTCATCCTTTTAAAAATTTACATGAAGGGGTTTCAGTAAATAGCATTGTATCTTGGCCTCTTTGAGACCGAAGCAGCTGAATTCCTTCCCACCCGCATCCCTCACCTCTACAGCTGCGCAGATGTCTGGAGAGCAAATTTCCCAGATCCGAAGTTCTCCCAAGACCTTCAAAAAAGTGGGAGGCCGGATGCGTAAGTCCGGATTCCTGGCAAACCTTTCCAGCTTCTTGAGGACTTTCTGGGTACGGCGGTCTCTTCTGATGTCATCTGGAATCCTTTCCAGCAAAGTTGAAAACCTTGAAGGAAAAAAAAAAATACTAAATGAGAGAAAAACATTTAACCTGGATGTCTCTAAAGTCTGAAAGGTATGACTCAGATGATGGCAACGAGGCCTACTCGTCAATCGCTAGAGTAAGCAACTTTATTGTCTACCACCAGTGTTACAAGAATCTTCCCAGACTGCTTGCCTTCCCCTGGGAATGACCAGGTAATGATTCGTACCTCTTGAGAGAGCTCACGTTTATGCCGCTTGTGACTACGCGAGGATTCCAAGCTAGAGCCTCGCTTGACTCCTCCTTCCAACTGCCTGGCAGTTTCCCAACATCATCCTTGGCACGCCACTGATAACAATCAAGACTGTACTAAGGGAAGGGCCCTAACACAATTCCTCAAAGACATGAGATATTTGGAATTTAAGTTGATAAAAATAGCCTGAATTTTGGATGATGGAAACATCTGTTCTTCCCAAGGCACAACATAACCATTAAGCAACTTGGGTTTGTTTTCAATGGTGATGAAGGAGGTTTATGACACTAGGATTGCGTTCCTGGTTTTCCTCTGCAGAATTATGCAACCCAAACCCCTTTCTCACCAGTTTTCTGACTCTGCGTCTTGTTCAGGCTCTTTGCCCACCACGGATTGTCTCATTCGCTCGAGGTCTTTCCGGAAACGGGTAAGATAGTTCAGGCACAGGAATTTCTGAATGTTCTTCTCCTCTCGTCTCCTGTCACACGGAATAAACATCCGAAGAATGTTCACGTTTTCTTGACCAACATGAGACACCCTCAACCTTTACTTGCCAGCTGGATCTCCAAATGATGTTTATGCCGTCGGCTTGTTTGAAGGCGAGCAGAAGAAACTTTTATGGGGAAAGAAGTAAATTTTACCGAGGGCTACACGGTTAGGTTATGGGGAGCCGGACAATGGTTTGTGTGGAGCTTGTGCTATGAACTAAGCCAGGAGTCTCCAACCTGTGGGCCGTGAGGGGTTTGCAACCGGGCCCCAGAAACAGCCGGCAAGTCCACGCGCATCCTCACAACACTGAAGGACTCTACCTACCTCTCCAGGATGTCGAGTTGATCGTGCAGCCGGAAGGCATTTTCTTGGGAGATGTCAAAAAACAATTCTCTCATCTCATGACACAGTTGCTGCTTCCTTCTAATGAAAGAGCTGGGGGGGGGGGGGAAAGACCACGTCGGAAGACATTCCCCCAGTTTTCTGCCTGAGAAGGGGGTTGAACTAGAAGACCTCCATGGTCCCTGCCAACTCTGTTATTGGTATTCTGTTACTCTGAACACAAAGGCCAGTGGAGGTGGACAAAGGGGCCAGCTGGATTTATATTGACCTCTCCCTTCTTCTATCATCATTCTTTTTTTCTTATGCCTTTTCTCATTTTACCCACCTTGGAAGGACGGAAGGCTGAGTCAACCTTGAGCATCGAACTGTTGGCAGAATTAGCCTGCAATATTGCGTTCTAACCACTGCGCCAGCCCGGCTCTTATTGGCATCTGTGTTCCTACCTTTCAGGACTGCAAAGTTCTGATGTTTTGTCATCTTCCATATATGTGGCAGTGGTGGTTTTATCTTCTCGGACGGTGACAACCATTGAACTACAAGAAAACGAGAGGCCACGAAGGGAAATCAACAGTGTCTCTAAGAAACATCACACAAACCTTGGTTTTGTTTCCATCCCTAATGAAATCCTCTGGAATGTTAAAAGCAAAGTGGAGAAGAATTTATACTGGCCTTCCCTCCCTTACTTCTGGCCCCTTACTCACCTCTTTCTCTTGGCCTCCACTGTGCTTCCTTCTTTGTGTATCCCTGTGCTGGTTTTTTCTTCCTTTGAAGATGTCGCAGAGCTGAAAAACACCAGATTATCCTTCCGCACTTCCAGCTTTTTATTATTCTAGAACGGGGGTGTCCAACCTTGGCAACTTTTAAGACTTGGAGACTTCAACCCCCAGAATTCCCCAACCAGCATGGGGAAACTTTCTAACACAGGTAATCCTGGACTTACGGCCACAGTTGGGAACCCAAAATTTCTGTGGCTAAGAGAGACTGCTGTTATGTGAGTTTGGCCCCGTTTTACGACTTTTCTCGCCACAACTGTTAAGTGAATCACTGCGGTTGTTAAATTAGTAAGACGCTTACTAAGTGACATCTGGCTTTCCCACTGACTTGGCTTGCCCAGAAGGTCGCAAAAGGGGATCGCGTGACCCCCGGGGATGCTGCAACCGTCATAAATAGGAGTCAGTTGACAAGCGTCGGAATTTCGATCATTTGACCCAGGGGATGCTGCATCAGTTGTGTGAAAAAGTCACTTTTTTTTTCAGTGCCATTGTAACTTCGAACGGACACTAAATGGTTGTAAGTTGGAGACCAGCTGTAACTAAGAACAGACCAGGACTTCAGGTGTTTCCGTTCAGTCATGGGGCTGTTGCTTACCTCTTGCCCCGTTGTCCAAACGATATGTCGCTGTCCGGATCGTACATGTGTAGACTAAAAAATAAGAAGGAGAACTTGAAGCTCAGATGTAGGCAGAGAAGGAAGCCAAGAAGGTCAGAGAAAGCGCAGAGCAAACAAGCAAAGATCCTTCATTCAGAAGACCAACTATGCAACCATCTGACCCATTTGGGGTGGTGTCATTGAGTGAGGATCTTTCGAGGCTAAGATTGGCCTCCGAAGGCTGGGAGGGTTAAGAAGCCTTAGGAGCTTCTAGCAAACAGCACCGGGAGCCTTTCTGGCTAATAAGTGACAAACCAATTGAACAAATTACTTTTGTAAAATGCAAACCAAGGCAATTTAATGTGCTCTTGAAATTAGAGACAGGCATGCTCTCTCCCCAAAGTCAGTCCCCCAACTTACTACTGTGGTTTCGTATTCCAAAACATATTTTCCTTGCTAAAATTCTTAGCCACGTCTTCGTGTATCATCCGAAGTAAGGTCTGCAGGTCTGGGGAGGGAGGAAAGAAAGAAAAAAAATTAGCAGGAAACCAGAATTAAATTCCAGGAGACTTAAACTCTTCGGGGAGTTTGCAGTGAAAAGCGTTGGATGAGACAAGATGTGAAAAGTAACAGCCCAATTGTGCACCAAATAAACCAGGTTCGAATGCATAATCCAATAATCTCATTTGGGAAATATATAATCTCGAAGAGGCCAGGAGGTACGTTCCAACTTGCATACATCGCAGAAGAAATGTCACCAAACATCATCTTTTTTTTTTTAGAATATGCATCTTTTCAGCAAGTATAGAGCAGCTTTCTCCCACCACTGAAAGATTGTTGACTTTCTTTCTTTCTTAGGATGTACCATAGAATCATAAAGTTGGAAGGGACCTTGGAGGTCTTCTAGTCCAACCCCCTGTTTGAGCAGGAAGTCCTATACGATTTCAGACAGATTGCTGTCCAATCTCTTCTTAAAAACCTCCAGTAATGGAGTACCCACAATTTCTGAAGGCAAGTCATTCCTCTGGTTTATTGTTCTCACTGTCAGGAAATTTCTCCTTAGTGTTCCAGGTTGCTTCTCTCCTTGATTAGTTTCCATCCATTGTTTCTTGTCCTGCCTACAGGTGCTTTGGAAAATAAATTGACCCCCCTCTTCTTTGTGGCAGCCCCTCAAATATTGAAACACTGTTCTTGTGTCACCCTTAGTCCTTTTTTATTAGACTAGACATACCCATTTCCTACAACCATTCTTTGTAGGTTTTAGCTCTCCAGAACCTCTAATGTATGTATATATTCCACTTATATACAACCGAATCAATAGACTCGAGGGAATATTTATGAAGCGGTTGACCCCAAAATCCATAAGCAGGGGGAAAGCATCCACGGGGAGCAAAAATTAAATCAACCAAGGTTATAAAAACCCCAAGAATAAATGTTAAGCCCTCGCGAAAAGGATGCAAAGTGAAGTAACAGAATCTCACCCTAATTTAACATAAAGCAGTAAATCGATGGAAGTACAAATTAAAGATGGTTGCGTTTCGCCAAATCTCTTTAGAAGAAGAATTGTGTCACGGAGAGCATTCAAAACATTAACAGGAACAGAATCCTGGCTCTTGCAAAGCCAGAGCAGAGCGACGTGGAAACCGCCTTTCAGCCTTCATGAATGAAGGATAGGACCAAATTTTTTTCCCAGGAAACACATACCGGATGGCCCAGATAGAAAAAAATTCCTGCAGGTACCGAGTACCAAGCCACGTTTAAGGCACAGGTAATCCTTGACTTATAACTGCAGTTGGGAGCAGAATTGTCATTGTTAAGCAAGGCCGTTGTTAATGAAGTCCCTGCTCGATTGGATGAACCTTTTGCCACGTTAATTGAACCTTTTGTCGTTAATTGAATCCAACATCCTCCATTGAATTTGCTTGTCGGAGAAGGGCTGGGAAGGTCGCAAATGGAGATCATATCATGCCCCCTCTGCCCCCCCCGGCCCTGGGACCATTGTAAATACACCCTGGTTTCCAGGAGCACAAAGGGCACGTATGTTTGACAATCCTGGAGACGTGTGATTGTAAGCTTTTCCGGGCGGGTCTATTCACCGTGGCCAACTCACCTTGGCCAACTCATTGCAGTTGCTGGACAAAATTGACACTAATATCCAAGAAAGGGTGGAGTAGAATCGTGAAAGAAAGGATGCTTCAAAAGGAGGGAGGGACAGAAGGAAATGCGATCGACAAAAGTTAAAATACATTTTAAAATTGATTTTAAGCAATTAAACAGAATGTTTAAATGGTTCTGCAATGAGTTGCCCCGTGGCAAGTTGGCCGTAACAAATTGTCCCATTCTGGCAATCAGTCAACCGGGAAAGTCGGATCCCATTAAAAGTAGCCGATTCACTTAACAACCGATTCATTGACTCATCCCGGGGGAAATGGGATCGCCCTTTGGCCTACCTTCCCAGCCGGCCTCTTGACAAGTAAAGGGGGAAGGTGGATTTGCTTAATGACCTCACGATTCACTTCACAGCCGTGCCCAAAAGAGGTCACAAAATTGGGCGCAACTGACTTAACCGCCCCCTTGCTTCTGGTCCCAATTGGGTTGTAAGCCGAGGACTTGCTCTATGGCAGGGGTCTTCAAACTTGGCCCTTTGATGACTTGTGGACTTCAACTCCCAGAATTCCTCAGCCAGGCACGTCCACAAGTCATCAAAGGGCCAGGTTTGAAGACCCCTGGTCTATGGTGTAGAAAACAGTCCCTTTGACCAGTCTGGCATCTCCCAGGTGCTCACAGTAGCTCAGGGGTTCTTCCTCCTCCTTCGTCTGCTTGCTGTAGCTGGACTCCAGCTCTTCCACCTCCTTGGCGCTTTCCGACGTAGGTTGGGCGGCTTCATCGGAGCCGGGCGTCAAAGAGCTGGTGCTGGCCAAGGTGGTCTTACTATGTGGCGAGGACAGCCCGCTGATCTTGGACATGCTCCCTGTCATCTTGGGTGACTTTTTGCTGGACGGGCCCCGAATCTGCTTCTGGGTATATCTTCTGCCCTGGAAGCGTTGTAACAGAATAAGGGAAGAGTTGGAAGGGACCTTGAAGGTCTTCTAGTCCAACCCCCTGCTCAGATGGGAAACCCTAGGCCTAGACCATCCCAGACAAATGGCTGTCCAGTCTCTTCTTAAAACCCTCCAGTGTTGGAGCATCCACAACTTCTGGAGACAAGGAATCACGCATTCACAAAAAGGTTACGGGAAAACCTTGGTTTATGAAGAACGGTTTCTCATAATGTTAGCAGAATAAGAGAATTGGAAGGGACCTTGGAGGTTTTCTAGTCCAACCCCCTGCTCAGAGAGGGAAGCCCAATACCATTTCAGACAAATGGCTGTCCAGTCTCTTCTTAAAAACCTCCAGGGATGGAGCAGCCACAACTTCTGGAGGCAGGTTGTTCCACTGGTTAATTGTTCTCACTGTCAGGAAGTTTCTCCTTAGTTGTACTATTCTAACTACCATTCTATTATTATTCTACTATTCTAGTTCTACCTGCCACTATAAGCTTGTTTCACAAAGCTGCAGGGGCCAAAGCAAGGCATCCACCATCCTCGTCTCACACCCAAGAAAAACTGGCCCTTTGATAGAAGTAGTTCCCCATCCAGGGGAGCGTACCTTTGCATGCTGAACAAAATGCTCCCACCGATTCTTCACCGCCTTCTCTTTATTGATGGCTTTCATGCAGCTTTTCCCACCACCGTAGTCCCTGGGAAAGATGGGATTTCATCAGCTTTCCATGTCTATGAAGATTCTCTGTCATCCAGGCCATGGTTGTCCTAAAGGTGCTTTTTCAACTGAACTTGCTTGTTTTTTCTTTGAAGACGTCTCGCTTCTCATCCAAGAAGCTTCTTCCGTTCTGAAGAAGAACTCAACGGGGAATTGAAGGAGCTTCTTGGATGAGAAGCGAAATGTCTTCAGGAGAAATAAAGTCCAGCTGATTAGTTTCCCTCCGTTGCTTCTTGTCTTGCTTCTTCAGGTGCTTTGGTGAATAGCTTGACTCCCTCTTTTTTTGTAGCAACCCCTGAGATACTGGAAGGCTGCTATCCTGTCACCCCTGGTCCTTCTCTTCATTAAACTAGACATACCCAATTCCAGCAACCATTCCTTATATGTTTTAGCCTCCAGTCCCCTAATCATCTTTGTTGCTCTTCTCTGCACTCTTTCTAGAGTCTCAACCTCTTTTTTACATTGTGGTGACCAAACCTGGATGCAGTATTCCAAGTGTGGCCTTACCAAGGCCTTGTAAAATGGTATTAACCCTTCACGTGATCTTGATTCTATCCCTCTGTGAATGCAGCCTAGCACTGTGTTGGCTTTTTTGGCAGCTGCAGCACACGGCTGGCTCCTATCTAAGGGACGGTCCACTAGGACTCCGAGATCCCTCTCACAGTTAGCTTCTGTGACCTACTTGGGGTTCCAGCAGGCGATCAAGGGCTTCATGCTACTGCTGGGCTCCAGGGTCAAGGCTTCCAGGAGCCAGTTAAGGGCACAGAGTTGCCGGAAGATGGAGTCACTGTTGAGACAGAGGAAGACAGATGGGCCGACTGGCAGAAAAACAGAGAGAAGAGGCAGATTCTGGCTAGAAGCCAAGTGATCACAGCCACAGGAACACACAGGGAAACTTGAGGCTCTCCTCAAATGCCCATAGATGCACACCGAAGTTCTGCTCTCATGAATTTTACAGCTCGATTTCTCTCCGGCTAATTTACTACAGTCCTCTCCCGCCCTTTGCCAGAGAAATGCATTTTTTGACTGTCTTCCCCCTGCCATTCTACCAAATAAAAGCACATTTAAAAAGAAAAAAGAAAGAATCTGCCATTGTTATGAATCCCCACAGGGAGATTTTAAAAAGTCCTTTCTTTTTCTTTTTTTTAAAAGTGAAATGTGAAATTTACGTCCCTAAAAACACCCATTTCTCCTTTCCAGCTCTTTGGGCTCATTTTCTAATTAAACCCACCCCAGGTTAAACTTGCCACGAAGCTAGTCCTCATCTTATTTCTAGGTTTCCACGTTGCAATATATCCTCAGTGACCCAAATGTCCCCCCCCAGGGGGCTATCTGTACTTTTCACACTCTGGCATTCTAGTTTGTGTCCATCCTGGTCCCTTTTTCCTGGTGGGATTGCACTCTTTTCAAAAACCCTTTCGCGGTTCTGCCAGTCTCCAAATTCTTCTCTCCCCCTCCCTTTCCCTCCCTCCCTCCCTTTTCTCTTTGGATCCCATTGCAGAATTTTACCCCTTTGGGAGACGGAATTAGAGGGGGGGGGGGAGAAAGGATGAGTGGCTGAACTGCTTCGAAACTTACAAATGGGCCTCTGGATGTTTTTGTGACAGCAAGCCATTATGGATGGGGGTGAATGGCCGGGCCATTTTTTTCTTCTTCTTCTTTTCCGTCTCGCTCACCAAGAAGCCTCCTGTTAAAAAGAAACTGAAGAAAGAAAGAGAGAGAGAGAGGTGTCAGAAACGAAGGCCCGTGGGGAAGGGAGAGGGGGTCTTTCCTCGCTAGCTGCAGACCACCCAATTTCTGCCCACTCGGAAGTCCATCTTTTCAAAAGGGCAGCCTGACTTCGCCCCGTAAAGCTGACCTGCTATGACTGCAAAATGTGGCAGGTTGTCATCACAAAGGATGGAAGAGATTTGTGTTGGCGTTTTCCATCCCTAACAGCTAGAAATGCCCTTTTTACGCAAGGGCTGGATGATCTTTTGACGGCCGGAGGCAGCTTGTAATCCTCCAGAGCAGGGACTTAGGAAAAAGGCAGTGGGGTCAGGCTAGGCCAGTTGGGGTAAGAGGAAGGTGAGGTCAAAACCCGAAAGAGCTACTTGGGGGGAAGAGAGGCCATCGGCCAACGCAGCACCAGGGAGGTTGAGGGCCCCTACTCAGATTCGGAGTCGGAGTCTTCCTCCGAGGAGGAGGATGGGTAGCGAGGGGGCTGAAACTCCGTCCTTCTCCTCTCTTCCTCCCTCCGCTCTTCCAGGCTGGAGGCGGTCCTCCTCTTGATGGATTCTCGACGAAGACTATGGAAGTACCCCCGCCCGATCTTCACCGAGTTGATCAGATGCCTGCCAAAAAGGAGGAGACATCAAACAATGCATAAACGGGAGTCTCTGAGCACGGGGGAGGCCCCCTCGGCTGTTTTCGCTGCCTTAAAAGATTCTTTAAACAAGAGAAAAGAAATCCATATGAGGCTGGCAGGGTGGAAAGGAAAGCGCCAGCCTTGAGTTTCTTCTTTTAGGCAACATCCAGGGCAGCGTTTCTCAACCTTGGCCAGTTGAAGATGGGTGGACTAAGGTGGGATAAACAAAATCAAATCAAATACTCTGCCTTTGAATTATGGCTGGTTAAAGGGGTTTATTGTTTGCTAGAATTCCCCAGCCAGCCAGCAATCCTAGGGAAACAGATCCTTGTCTCTTCAACTCACCATGGCCAACTCACCACGGCCAACTCAACACGGCCAACTCAACATGGCCAACCTGCCACCGAACAACATTGCTGTGGGACAATTCAACTGAATTATATAAAATAATTTAAGGAATTATTTTAATTTTTGGCCATTCACATCTCATTTCCCCCTTCCTTTGGCATCCTTTCTTGAACGATCCCATTCCACTATTTCTTCGATATTAGTGTAACTCTTGTCCCGTGGCAAGTTGGCCACGGCGAGTTGTCCGCGGTCACTTGGCCATGACAAGTGGTCGTAGACCCTCCCCCCCCAAGAGCTCCGAAATGTTGGCCTGCTGCAGCAACTCAACGAAACTGCACCCATTAAAATGTAAATGCATTTAAAATGAACTTTGCAATACATCTATTAGGCTAATTGAGCGTCGGCCGACTGTACCGTCGCAACACATATTTCCTGCCACCTGCCAGACAAGGGCAGTGTCTTCCTTGTAAATGGATAACTTACTGGGGAAACAAAGAGCGTTTTTGAGAGCTAATCATTTTCAGCAGAATTCCCCAGCTGCTTTAGAAGATTAAATTAACAGAGATAAAGGTCAGCCTTGTGCTGTAGTCAAATAAAAATGACCCAGCAACAAAAGAATGTATATGAAGTTGACGATAAACGCACTTTTTGGAAGGGGGGGTATCGGCAAGGCCGTGCGTTTCATTACACTTAAACCTGAGCGATTTGTTAATTCTGACACGGTTTGATAAAGGATTGGGACGAAGGTTTGCTTCCGGTATTACCGAGGTCCTAATACACTACATCAAATATCTTTAAAGATGAAATACAACCAAATGCAATAAATTCATTTCAGCTCGGCGGGAGGCCTCAGCTGGGCTTTAATGAAAATTTCAACAAGCCCTGCACGGAAAGGGAGAGGTGGTTGACCTGTAGAACGAGCGGAGGGCTGTACGTAGCTCTCAACTTTCAAGATATAAAATCTTTTATAAAAATATAAAAAGCATTTTTTTTCAAAGTACGGGTTTACCAAAGCTTACTGGAGGGCTAAGAGCAGGGAAAGACGGGTCTAGGACAATTCGTCACAGCCAACTTGCCACTGGACAACTTAACATAAGACAACTGGACCCTAGACACGTTCCTCTCTTAATATTATTAGTAATATTCATCATCATCATCAATCATCTTTTTTTTTTTTTGAAAATTTTATTTATTTTTTCCATCATAAAAAAACAATCATCATTTTAACTCAGCGTCCATTTACTGCAGGATGAAGCCCTCTTACGCATGTTTCCCACCCATATGGTCCTGGGCTTCCTTTTGCCAATTGGGCCCGCCATACTTGCCAATGCGGTCAATCCATCTTGTTTTAGGTCTCTGGCTGGAAGGGACTTCTGAGGTCTTCTAGTCCAACCCCCTGCTCAAGGCAAGAGACCTTAGACCATCCCAGTCCAATCTTTTCTTGAAAAACCTCCAGGGATGGAGTATCCTCAATTCCGGGAAGCAAATTATTCCACCGATTAATTGTTCTCACTGTCAGGAAATTTCTCCTCGGTTCTAGGTTGTTTCTCTCCTTGATGAGTTTCCATCCATTGCTTCTTGTCCTGCCCTCAGGTGCGTTGGAGGATAGCTTGACTCCCTCTTCTTTGGGGCAGCCCCTCAAATACTGGAAGACTGCTATCATGTCACCCCCCTAGACCTTCTCTTCATTAAACTAGACATTGCCAATTCCAGCAACCACTCTTCATAGGTTTTAGCCTCCAGCCCCCTGATCATCTCTGTGCACTTTTTAGGGTCTCAACATCTTTTTTGTATCAAGGCTCCCTAATATCCAGAGCGACATGGAGGATTTGGAGAAGAGCCCAGCAGTCTGGAGAGGCAGCTGCTGGCCAGGTGGGGAAGCTTTGCCCCGCAGATCATGCCAACCCACAAGATGGAATTTGGCTGGGTTATTCTATGGCAGTATGTGATACTCAGGGGCAGGCATGTCTGTGGGGGTGGGAGGAGGGTGGGGTAGGGGTTGAAAAAGCCAAAAGGATGGCCAGAACCGTGAAGTCAAAGCCCTGTCCTTAGTTGTGATTGTCATCTTGATTTTTGTTCTTACTTTCCTACAGCCATCCTCACTCAGGACCGTCTTCGCCGAGGTGCTAAATTCCAGCCGGTTCCTAAGAATGAAATTTTAGCAGCACTCAACCCTGGGATAAAAGTAACACCAAGCAGCGTCCTAAAATAGCAGCTCCTTTGATGACTGATGGCACACACGTGTTTTCTCCGCTCTGTAAAGCCTTAGTGAGGCCACACTTAGAATACAGCATCCAGTTTTGGTCACCCCACTGTAAAAAAGATGCTGAGACTCTGGAAAGAGTGCAGAGAAGAGCAACAAAGAGGATTAGGGGCCTGGAGGCTAAAACATACGAAGAACGGTTACAGGAACTGGGCATGGCTAGAATAGTGAAAAGAAGGACCCGCAGTAACACGTCAGCAGTGTTCCAATACTTGAGGGGCTGTGGCAACCTATTTTCCAAAGCACCTGAAGGCCAGACAAGGATCAATGGTTGGGAACTGATCAAGGAGAGATTTCAGCTAGAAACAAGGAGAAACTTCCTAACACTGAGGACAATTAACCAATGGAATGGCTTGCCTTCAGAAGTTGTGGGTGCTCCATCACTGGAGGCTTTCAAGAAGAGACTGGACAGTCACTTGTCAGAAATGGTGTAGGGTCCCCTGCTTGAACAGGGGGGTTGGACTAGATGACCTACAAGATCCCTTCTGACACTGTTATTCTAAGTCTCCCACCCCACCCGGGCAACTGAGTAATGTCATCCAGCATTCCCAGCAAAAGACATTTTTCCGTCTCAGCTAAGAGAATTTTGCAGATGGCAAAAGGCATCCTGATAAAAGCACCGGGTGTCAAACAGCAAAGGGGAGATGGAATAGACAATGGGATTCTCGTTTCCAAGCAACTGGCAATCCTAACCATGAGCTACAGCAGAAACATAGTAGCTGCAGGTAATACCCGTATCCCAAACAGCAGCATCCGTTGCTGCTTCTACGGGCCTCCTGCCACAGTCCTTTTGTGGCGAAACTCTCCATCAGTAATCAGATCTACAGGGTTAGGTGCAAATAGGATCAGTGGCCAAAGGAAGCAAGCAGGAGATTCATAGGGAAGAGGCTTAGAGCAGTGGTCCCCCACCCTTTCGAATAGAAGAAAAACCTTGGGAAATACTGTGCTGAGCTCTTAGTGATGGTTTATGATATTTGGGGTAGAGATACAAAGAATAGAATAGAATAGAATAGAATAGAATAGAATAGAATAGAATAGAATAGAATAGAATTAGAGCAGAATAGAATTAGAGCAGAATAGAATTAGAATTAGAATAGAATAGAATAGAATAGAATAGAATAGAATAGAATAGAATAGAATAGAATAGAATAGAATAGGGTTAGGGTTAGGGTTAGGGATCCCCAATGTCAAAGGAAAAAAGAAAAAGAAAAGCCAATGAAAACATAATTGGATAAATCGATAAAAACGCCCCTGGAAACATGCTGCATTTCAAATTCCCTCCCACTGTACCACAACGGATAATTACAACCAACGGGGGGGAAGGCCTGTTTTGGTACATGTGCCCTGCTGTGGCTGGCAGTGATGGCTTGCCAAGGTTTATTTTTTGCAGCAGGCTGTTAGTGAACCAACCGAAGGGAAGCCTGCCACTTGGACTGATATGATATTTGATGTCTGAGCTGAAAAAAAAAAAAGAGAAGGAGCATCTGGTATTCTAATTAACGTGTGAATGGAGAACCAAAGCAAGGATCCAAGGATCAGGCTGATGGAGCTTTCCGTCTGTCTAAGCAACCTCTGATTCCCTCTTCCAAGGGCTACTGTTGAAGGCCGTTTTCCTACTGCAACAGCATCACCTATCGTAGGAAACCTCAATGTATTTAGTTATTTTTTATTTAGTTTATATCCTGCATTGTTCTTACAATAACTGAAAGGGACGAATATATGCAACATGCTTTCCTCCTCCTATTTCCCCCACAACAATAACCCTGGGAGGTTGCGTGAGAGAGTCGCCCAAAGTCACCTAGTTGGCTTTCATGCCTAAGGCAGAACTAGAACTCATGAACTCCTGGTGATTGGCTCAAAACCACCCAACTGGCTTTCATGCCTAAGGCAGAACTAGAACTCACCTTCTCCAGTCTTCTAGCTTGGTGCCTTAACCACTAGAGTCAAACTGGCTGTCTGTCTATATGTTTAGTGGTCAAGTGGGAATGGTTGGATCAACATATGTCCATTGGCTCTCTACATTTCTTCAGGGGGCTCAGATAAGCCCTACCAGGTGTAACGATAAGCCTTTCACTTCCTTTGTGTGATGCTCTCAGAAAAAGCAATGAAGAGAGAGAGAGAGAGAGAGAGAGAGAGAGATGGTACTTTTGTGCATACTTCAAGGTTAGTTTCCGTGCATAACCGCACGGCATTTTCCTACCTCATGTGCACGAGGTCTCTGGGGAGGGTCCTCAAATCCTTCTCTATATGTCGAATCGGCAGAAGTTTCTTCTCCGGTTCCAGGAGCTAAGTAAACAAATGCCAGCAGAAAGGAAACTGTAGCTCAGAATAACCATCCCTTCATTTCCCTCTACTTCGGGAACAAGGGAGTAACCCAAAATAACCCGAAGAAGCATCTATACTCAACAGGTATATAAATTCTGGAAACTCATAAAAAAAGAAAAATGAAACTGAATCTGAGAAGTGAGAACAGATAGTCCTCAATTTACGACCACAACTGAGCCTAATCCAAAATTTTAATGGATTTACCTTTGGTTTCAACTTCTTGGAAAGCTCGGTTTCCAATGGTTCGGCGAATTCTTCCAAAGCAACTTCCTCTTTGTAGAGATCCTGAAATGAGAGGCAACAGGTAGGCTGAGACATCGTCTCGGTGTAATGAATCTTGTGAGATCCGTGGAAAAAAATCATCCAGGGCTGATCCTGATCATGCAAAACAGAAACGGTGTTTCCCCCCCCAACCTTAGCAGCTTTAAGCTGGGCGGACTTCAACTTCCAGAATGCTGGCTGGGGAATTCTGGGAGTTGAGGTCCACACAGCTTAAAAGTTGCCAAGGTTGAAAAAGATTGTTCTAAACACATCCAAATTATAATCTGGAAAGGGATTCTGTAGGGTAGGCAAGGAAGCGATTGGCGTCTCTTAGTTCATGGAATGTTATGAAGATTCCTGGGCATCAGATCCTTTAGCAGCAGCTGTCTGTGAAAGGCAATTTTTTTAAAAAGAGAGTGGCTGCTAATTATAAACTTGGCTACAGAGCTCGGAGAGAAAACTCTTTGGTCATGGGTTTTCCATAATATTTTGAAGGAAGGAAGGAGAAAATAGGATGAATGGGAGGGAGGGAGGAAGGAAGGAAATTAAGATTGAGAAGAAGGAGGAGGAGGGAGAAGGAGGAAAAGAAAAAGGAGGAGGAGGAGGAGGAGATTTATGCGGCACTCAAGGTTGAATTTGGGCGTTCTTTGTGTTCTCTAAGCTTGGAGAACCCCAAGATCCCGCAAGCAAGAGAAAAGTGAAAGAGACTCGCATTTGTTGCTGACCTTCTCATCAAACATAGCTGCGTCCTGAAGCAAATCTGTATGGGGGCGTACTTCGCAACACATCACAACTTTCACCCTACCATCTTTCTTAACAGGCAAAGTGAAGGCAAAGTAGAGGCTGTAACATCCATGCAAAAGGTTGACTGGTGGCAAAATGTAATGGATTCCGTTAGGACTGGACGAAGCCCATATATCCCTCAAGCCTGGAATAATGGTTTATTCGCTAGATCACAGTTAAACCAAGGGTCTGAATGTCTGAAGCCAGTCACAGGGCAAATGGTTTAGAATAGATTATATAGTTTGGATTCTATCTTCCTGTATAGATTTGCCCGACCATCCCACGGTTTAGAAAGAGAGCTATCTCCATGGGATGCTGCCAGTATATATATATTATTGTTACTTGCTAGATGTAAACTTTCATCCAACAGCCAGCCAACGTGCAGCTTTCCCGCCTGTCTTGATTTTGTTGTGTTATCGACAAGTCTTCCCACTTTGTTCTGTCTGGACTAAGTGACCGTTTTCAGCGTTGGCTTTAATCTTTGATCTAAGACCGCAATGTTTACTCTTTGATTATGAGCAGTTCTGAGACCTTTTAATAGGGAGGGGGGAAAAGAGAGACATCAAATGTTTCAGGCGCTGCACTCATGCCCTTATTGACAAGATCAAATTACTCTTTCCATCTTCCAATTCTTGTTTATTTAAAAAAAAAGAATCTTCCTTTTATCATTGCTGAAAGCCATACACAGACACACACACACAGAGAGAAAGAGAGAGAGAGAGAGAGTATATAAAGTCAGCAAAAGCTGCAGAGCTTTATTACAAGCAACCTGACTCTAAGAAAGATGTTTTTCAAACTTGGCAACTTTAAGAGGTGTGAACTTCAACTCCCAGAATTCCCCAGCCAGCCATGAACTGGCCAAAGCTGTAAGTCAAGGATTACCTGTGCCGAGTTTTACTTTATGACGGAAACTCATTGGAGATTCAATATGAAGGCAGAGACCGTATTCCACGTACGGTTTGTTAATTGAAAAGGAATAAAAGGTATTATATTTTGCCTGTTTCGGCGAGAGATTTCAAATTTAACACTGTACATTTTCTCAAGAGACTCTTAAAGTATGCATTATTAATGTTAATTGCTAATGTCTGTCTGTAGTTTTTTTTTTCTCTCTCTCTCTCTCTCTCCCTGGCATTCAGATTTATTTTTACTAAATCCTCACGCCTCTAAGAAATACAAAAGCTTAATTAAAGTAGCAAATCAGCGGAAGCAAAAAAACATGAAATGAATTAGATCAGCTTGAAAAAATCGCCCAAAGCCTTTGAGGGCTCAAACCAGGCTTCTGTTGGACAGGCGGGGGAAAAATCTCCCGTTGAATATATGCTCTGGATCAGTCTGTCCCATGAATTCCGGTGGGCAAGGATGCCGCTGGCTCTACGAAGCCAGAATAAGAGAAAAACTGCAAGAAAGAATGTAAAAACAAAAAGAGGGAGTGGGTTGGTGCAGATCAAAAAAGATACAAGAAGTGAGGAAGAGCAGAATTCGATCAATCAGCATAGACTTGGAAGGGACCTTGGAGGTCTTCTAGTCCAACCCCCTGCTCAAGCAGGAGACCTTATACCGTTTCAGACAAATGGTGGTCCAATCTCTTCTTAAAAGCCTCCAGTGATGGAGCACTCACAATTCCTCCAATTCCCTCTTTTTCTTCAGGGGCCCTACAGCAGATCTGCCAAAATTTATTTTCCAACACAAAGCTGCTGTCCGGATTCTGCTTGCCAAGCCGAATGCTTGTTAATCTTGGTCTGTAGCAGGGTTTAAATTTTTGTTCTGGTTCGGCTGACATAGGAGCCTCTTAACAAGAACAGTCTAAAAGGTCTCCTTTCATTCCTTACAATGCCCAGAAGCGTCCTGGGTGATATTATTTTTTTCTATAATTATCCGCTACCGTGGGAGGATTTCATGCTTAATGGCAGTCTAAAAATAGTTTCTAACGAGTACTGTTAAAACAATAAGCCAGGGAGATATTTGCAACCCTGCTGATAAGGGGGAAATCCTCTCTGCTCTGCATACACCAACATCAACATGGTTTGTTCCCTGCGTTGTGTCTTCATCCCGACCAGATCTTTCCTCCCGTCTTCTAAGAACATGCAGAGCTGCTGCCTCTTGGTCCTCGGCCTGCCTACTTCGGGAATACTGTGAATAAATATTAACAGAGCTGCTGTGCGGTAATTGGATTGCTGCTTTTAAAATGCAGGAGCCGTTTCCGACATAAATCCAATTAAAGTCTTACTTAAATTTAGGCTGGGAAGAATTTCGGAGTTATTTGATTCGCCCTTGGTCTTATTCACCCTTCCAACTGTAGTATCTGAAAAACACCAGGTTTTTCCCCACCTCACCCCTTGTATAGCCATGCTTTTAAAAGAGAGAGAGAGAGAGAGAGAGAGAATGAGAGAACAAGACAGAACGAAAGACACAGAGAAAATGAGAGAGTGAGAGAATAGAGAGAATGAGAAGAGAGAGAGAATGAGACAGAACGAGAATGAAAGAGAGACAGAGACAGAGAGAGAATGAGAACAAGAGAGAGAGAGAGAAAATGAGAGTCAGAGAACTAGAGAAACAGAGACAAACTAGTTAACTTCTGGACTCAGACTTTATTGCCCAGTGCCCTGTTGAATTGGGCACCTGGTACTTCTTTTATAAGAGTTGTTAGCTGGCACCAAGCCATCATTGTCTCCTGGAACTCATTGAAAAAGCGTTTTCCACTCTTTGCGGCAAAGTCCCGCAGTCGGTCACTGGCGTTAGAACAGAACAAAACAGAATAACTGAGTTGGAAGGGACCTCGGAGATCTTCTAGTCCAATCTCCTGCTTATACCATTCTAGACAAATGGTTGTCCAATCTCTTCTTGTGGATGTTGGAGCATCCACAACTTCTGAAGACAAACCATTCCACTGATTAATTGTTCTCCCTTTTAGGAAACTCCTTATCAGTTATAGGTTGCTCCTCTCTCCTTGTTTATTTTCCATCCATTGCTTCTTGTCCTGCTTTCTGGTGCTTTGGAAAATAAATTGAAACCCCCCCCCTTCTTTGTAGCATCTCATTTTGTTCTTGTTCTGGCTCTTGTGTGTCTCCTTGCAAGTAGCCCTAAAGTGAGTTTGCCTGATTGGGCTTACCATTAGTGACATTAATTAAAGGATCCGGTGCTGCAGCCGATGCAGTTGTGTTCTTTTTCCGAGGCTAGACCAGCTGCTATGTGAGGATATGGTGCCAGGGGGATCTGTCATCTTACATTTTTCATGTTGTCGAGTTTTTCCGGCGTGTTTTGTTCCTGAGCGAGACTCCAGCCTGACAATTTGGACAGCGAGGTTTTGAAAGAACAGTCGGGAGTTGGGGAAGGAAACCAGCTTCTCGGGAGCCGAAATGTAGAAATGTAGTAACCACGTAGTAGCACTTGGATAATCAGAGACTCTCAGGAAGAGAGAGCAAAGAGCAAAGACTCAGCTTAGGAAGCACAGCCCATGCACAGCAGGAGAGTTCTGTGTTCAGAGTGCAAAAATGTCTTGACAAACTCAGTGAAAACTTTGGGATTTTTCTACCCGGGTAACTTCGCTCTACTTTCGCCGTTGTGATTTGACCTTCGGAATGAGAACTAATTGCTTCTGACATTTTGTGATCGTAACGACAGCTGCGGGCAGATCCGGAGTCATAACTGCAGTCTGGAAGCCTGAAGCATTCCCTCGTCTTCAGTTTCTAGGCTGTGTCCATTAGTTCCAGGCCTTTGGTGTCACAAGGCCATTAAAAACAGCCTTCTTATTTTCATCGGACAGAATCATTTTTTAGTTAACCTCGGCAGAAGACAGCATTGGAGGGAGAGAAAATTACATCATTTAAAAGATTCGCTGGGAGAGCACCGGTGGATGAGAAGCTGTCCTCTTGAGCTCTTACAAACCCAAGTCTAGAGAGTGACAGGTGGGGAAAATCCACCCCCTCTTGCATCCCCATCCCCAAGAAGACCCCACACGCCATCCTTCTTCCTGAGTTGCTAGGAAACCGGAGACTCAGGTCCAGCGCAAGGAGGAATGGAGGAAGGTGAAGGACCAGAAAGAAAGGAAAAAAAAACATTGTCGATCTCAGTTTTACTTTAGCCCTAAACCTTTTTGGGGAAAAAATCACAAAGCCGTCAATTTATCTACATCATGCAGTAACAACAGCAAACTGCCATGCCCACAATATAGTTGGCACTAATGAGACCACACTCGAAACACTGCATCCAGTTCTGGTCACCACAATACATAAAGGAGGTTGGGATGCTAGAAAGAGTGCAGAGAAGAGCAACAAAGATGATCAGGGGGCTAGAGGCTAAAACCTAGGGAGAACATTTATGGAGATTCTCGGTCATAGGTCATGGTTGTCCCAAAGAAGCTTTTTTCAAGAGGTAACTGGACTTTCTTGTTTTTTTCTTTGAAGATGTTTCGCTTCTCATCCAAGAAGCTTCTTCAGCTCTGACTGGATGGTGGGGAATGGAAGGATTTATACTCCTTGCAGACAGCTGGTCATTTGCCTTCTTTTAGAGAGTCATTGAGAGTCTGTTGGGGATGACTTTTCAACAGGGAAGGGACCCAGGGCAGAAAACATCCTGCAGCCAAGAAGGCTCCACACATATTTGCAGTACTTAGGTGACCCTGAGGACACAGGTAAACCTCCAAGTGGTCTCAATGACTCTCTAAAAGAAGGAAAATGACCACAATAAAATTACAATTTATTCAGCTAATTTTCTGGGTCTGCACAATTCTCTAATGAAGAACCATCAAGTCGCCATCTAGAAACCTGTGTCTGGTTTTGTTTTGTTTTTTCCTTCTCCCTCCCCATCCTGTTTCCTTTCATGTGGTGTCTTCCAAAGTGCCAGCCCGAAAGACCCTTTCCGGCCATTTTGATTAGCGATTTTGGGAGGCTTGCGGGCAGAAATCCTTCTGACAGATAACTGCTGATTTAATAGATAGCTGTTGATTTAACGCATAACTGCTGATTTAATGGATAACTGCTGATTTAACGGATAACTTCTGATTTAACAGACAACTGCTGATTTAACGGACAACTGCTGATTTAACGGATAATTGCTGATTTAACAAGAGCTGTGCACACTTACCGGAGGTAGCTGTCCCAGACCGTAGAGGGTGAGTTTTCTGGGATCGAGGTAAAGGGGGTCTCCGAAATCCTGATAGGGTTTCCAGCAGGGGGTAAAATACCCCTGTTGTGAGAGTTGTTTGGCTCTCCGATGATAGCTCTCTCGAAATACGTGCTCTCTTGGGACATCCCAGCAGTTGTAAATGGTTTTGCTCCGTGCCTGGATCTTTAAACCTTTCTGGGTAGGGACAGGCAGTGGTCTGATCAGCACGAAGTAGCGAGGATCAATTTTGGGGTTCAGGGGCATCCTGCCTCTGTTGCCCCGGGGCGGGTTCCAATAAGAAACCCAAGTAATCAACTGATCAATAGGCTATTGATTTCTCGAGTCAAGTCCTTCTAGTAAACTACTTCACAAGCAAGTACTTTCTTTGGATTCACTGTCTTGGGCAATCAGGGGTTTTCTGCCCATCAAAGCAAACCACGATTGCTCCAAGCATGTTGGGCTGTTGGGATCCAACCCAAGATTCCTGATTGGCCTCCCAGAGGGAGTAAAGTTGCTAAGCTCAGACAGAGGGACTGCTAGCCCATGAGACAAAGCAAGCTTAGCAGCCCCTTTCCCTTTGGGGCTGTGCAAAGCTCCAGAAATTAAAACCAGGTTTTCCAATAAGCTGTGACGAGAGACCTTCACTGGGATCTAAACTCAGTTTGGATCGAATGTGGACCCAACTCTCTGAATTTCCCTACCACGGCTGTGTTTCCAAGTCTGCGACATTCATGCCCCTATGCCTATCTCCCTCTCCCCTTCCTTTCTTTCTCCTTCCTCCTACCAAGTTCCTAGTCCCTAAGACTACTCTGCCTTCCTATCAAATGCTGTTTTCACAGCCAAACCTGCAGCCAGGTTTACTGTAGGTTGGTTGGCTTTTGCTCCTCTCCCTGATTTTTATTTTCAAGCTATTAGTCCCTAAGAGGTCCTCTACAGCCTCTCTAGAAAACTAAGACCCCCAAAGTCTCATGGCTGACCCGAGGCCAAAGCCATTCAAGGCCAACGACCCCCGACCTGGGGGCTCTTTTCCCTCTAGCCCCCTCCCCTTTATAAATGCTTCCTTCTCTTCCTAATTTCCCCTAAGGCTCCAGCTAAGCCTAAGCCTGGGGGGTCGGGGGGGCTTCCATTAAAGAAAGGCAGACATTTTCCAGCCTCCCCCTCCCCCCAGTTTGGAGACACTCCGCCCCCACCCCGTCTTTATCTTGCCCCCTCCCAACGCCAACTGCTTTGGAAGGAAGAACGGGGGAGAGAGGAGATGGCGTCTCCTGTTGCCCTTGGCAACCGCAACTGGCAGGCGCGCGGGCTGGTATGTCCCTCGCCGCTGTCCGTAGCAGCCGCTGAAGCTGCTTCCGCCCGGACTGCCTGCCCTTTTCTCTCTTTTTTTTTTAAACGAAGGAATGAATGCATGAATCTGCTCGGGTTTTTTTTTTTCTTTTTTTGCAACGACCTTTATATTTTGCCTAATTTTAAAAAAAGAGGGATGTCCAGTCTCTCTGTTTCCCACCTGTTGGACTGCATTTTTAACTCCTCTTGCGGGAAAAAAAAGAAGAAGTTAAAGTGTTTTTCAAACTTCGAAGAAGTATGGACTACAACTCCCAGAATTCCCCAGCCAGCATGGGAAGTCTGGGAGTTGAAGTCCATCCATCTTAAAAAAAAATCCTGGCTGGGGAATTTTGGGAGTTGAGATCCAGACATCTTCCCTGGTGGCGTTCGAGTAGAGCCTGGACAGCCATTGGTAGAGATTCATTTGAAATCCTGCCCTGAGCAGGGGTTGGACTTGATGCCCTCCCAAACCCCCTTCCATCTCTATGAATGAATGAGAAGCAGTGACACTGCAATAGGAAAATGATCGCTATGCGAGCAATCGAATAATAGCAGCAAATACTCTTTTAAAAACAAACAAGTAATTTTTTTAATAATTGCATTACATCATACACCGGATAGACTATGAAGGGCCCCATATATATAATTGTAAGCCGCTCAGAGTCATTGACTGAGATGGACTAGAAAGGAATGAATGAACAAATGAACGAACGGATGAACGAATGAACCAATGAATCACCTGCGCCTGCTCCCATCTAATTGTCACTCTTTTGCTTCATTGATCATTTTAATAATTAAATGTTACAGCTTAAGGCTGACTCACTGCATGTAGTTGACATTGGTGTTGTGTGGCAGCACTGCCCCATTGTGTGGAGCGTGCATGGCCATCCTTGCCAGCTTCTGAGTTTGTTGTCCCGTCTCCATGGCAGCTGAAGAGATGACGTGGGAACGGATCCTTCCTGCATTAGAGCACCCATTTTGCCCCCCCCGGCGCAGGATACTTAAAAACTGAGGTGCAACTGGGTGGCATTCAACCTTCTCTGTGACTCAGTTGCGGGTAATTTCAGATGTGGCTGCCAATGCATAATTCTGCGGAACTAGACACAGATACAACCTTGTGTTGCATTGTTGTCTTTCTTGTTCCTCAAGCATCCAAGCTGGGTAATTTCCTTGGCTGGCGAGGAGGGATTCATTGTGTGGATGAAGGGAAGAACAAGGATGAAAAAAAAACAAGCTTCTTCTTGCCCAGGTTGCTACTGACGCAATAGATCTTTTTGTTCCACAAAGAAGAGGGGTTCCACCTATTTTCCAAAGCACCTGAAGGCAGGACAAGAAGCAATGGATGGCAACTGATCAAGGAGAGAAGCAGCCTGGAATTAAGGAGAAACTTCCTGACAGCGAGGACAATTAACCAGGGGAACAGAATTGTTTCCAGACGTTGTGGGTGCTTCATCACTGGAGATTTTTCAGAAGAGACTGGACAGCCATTTGCCTGAGATGGTACTGGGTCTCCTGCTTGAGCAGGGGGTTGGACTAGAAGACCCCCAAGGTCTTTTGCAACTCTGTTATTCTCCAAAGCACCTGAAGGCAGGACAAGAAGCAACGGATGGAAACTAATCAAGGAGAGAAGCAAACCTAGAACTTTCTTAACAGTGGGAACAATTAACCAGTGGAACGACTTGCCTCCAGAAGTTGTGGATGCTCCATCACAGGCGGTTTTTAAGAAGAGACTGGACATACAGGCCCGAGGTCATGTAGCTGCTTTGTGACTGCCCCGTGCCTTAACTCAGGACTAGAACTCCCCGGCTCCTGAACTCTACCTGGTGCCTTGTAACCTACGCTAAAAGGGAGCCTCCATCAGAATAAACACAGAGAAAATAAACAAGCCAGGAAGTTTTTAGCAATTCTTTAGTGAATTAGATTAACTCTCAGGATGGGGGTTTTAACCTTTTGGTTCCGTCCCAGGCGACTGATGGACCCTGAGAGGTTCCTGATGGAGCTTGGGCCATATCCGGAGGATCTGGTCCACGACTCGGCGGAAAATCAGGCGGCGGCTTGGGAGACAACTGCCGCCGCAGCATTGGGACCGAGTCGTGCCTTTGCGGCCTCTGACCCGACGTAGATCTCGATTGGCTCCCTGGTTTACCGAGGAGCTGAGAGAGATGAAACGTCGGAAAAGATGCCTAGAGAGATGTTGGAGGGCCAACCGAACCGAACCCGACCGAACACGGGTTAGGATACATGTTAGATCCTACCTAGTGGCGATGAGGGTGGCTAGGGCTNTTAATCGGAAACACAGCTGGGAATATTTGGTTTTAATTCGGCTTTTATCAGGGTTTATTCTTTTGTATTTTTGTATTGTGTATTTTTTGTATTTTGGGTATATTATTTGTTTTTAATATGCTGTGAACCGCCCTGAGTCCTATGGGAGAAGGGCGGTATACAAATTAAAATAATAAATAAATAAATAAATAAATAAATGAGGGATTGTGACATGATAAGCTGTTGAAGGGTTGCGGGATAATTATTAATGAGGACGTGGCTCCTTGTTTTGGCTCCAGCTGAGGAAATAACATCGCCCCATCAATGCTGATCATTTAATCCTCCATCCCAGTCTCTCTCCCCCCCCCGCCTTTGTGTCTATGTGGGTTTACATGTCTAAACGTAAGTGTCCCCCCCCCACACACACACAGAGTAAAGTTTTCCCTGAAAAGTCCTTGAGATTCCAAGCACGGGTTTTGCACTGATTTTCAAAAGATTGCAGACTTTCTTTATCAATGCAAATTAGTCTCTCCTGATGAAAAGGGAAAACAAATGGAATTTTAAAATGCAGCTAATCAAGAAGTTAAAGAGAGGTTAATCTTCCTGGATTAATCAAATTGCATGCATGAGAGAAGAGAGCAGGCGAGGGAGACAAGAGGTGGAGGGGGGGCCAAGGAAGAGAATTTGTCTGGCTGATTCCGGATGTGGCGATCATGCAGGCAGTCCTCGACTTACGACAGTTCATTTAGTGACCGTTCAAATTTCCAACGGCACTGAAAAAAGTGACTTAGGACCATTTTCACACTTACGGCGGTTGCAGCACCCCCAAGGCCACGTGGTCTAAATCCAGATACTTGGCAACCGTATTTATGACGGACTCGTATTTATGACGGACTCACGTGATCCCTTTTGCGACCTTCTGGCAAGCCAAGTCAATGGGGGGACCCAGATTTACTTAACAACCGTGTTCCTGACTTAATATTAGCGATTTCAGTCACTTATCTCCTTTCTCTTCAAACACAGCAAACGATGTCTCCTTCCTTTATCTCCTTCCTTATTTATCAACTGATTTTTAAAGTCTCCTTAGTTCCGTTCAGTCTTGATCAGCAGAAGTCCGGTAAAGGTTAGCAGAGGCTCATCTTGATTAAATGAATTCCTGCAGGGAGAATTTGCTCTCTCAGCTGCCTTGTCCTTTCCAGTCCTCCCACCCCTCTGAAAACTTTTTTTTTCCCGTTCCACGTAGAGACCTCTCTCCTTCTTAAAATTCCGTGCATCCCTGTCTCAGTACTAACACCAATATTAAGCCATAAAAAGTAATATGTTATGACACCATAAAATGCAGCGTAATTGCCACGAAACCATAAAATGTAATGTAGTTGGCTCAGCGGCTATTATATATATATATATATATTTCAGCTGTAACGGCTTCGGAGTGGAATGGAGCATGCAGGGCGAAGCGAACCACAGATCACCAGGGAAAATCTTTGAGAGATTCAAATCTTTATAGCCTTTCATGTTTCCTGCCATTGCAGGAAGTGGCAATTCTTGTTCTGTTCTCCCAGACAGCATAGGACATAGAGTCGTAGGGCTGGGAGGACCTTAGAGATCTTCTAGTCCAGTGGTTCTCAACCTTTTCTTCACCACGGACCGCCTTTCAATCCATTTTGTGGCCATGGTCC